TTATTTTAGGTTCAGTGTTCTTGAAATACCGTTTCTGTTACCGCTTTCTGTTGAGAAATAATAAATAAAGCACAACTTCTTTTCTTTCATATGAAATAATCTGGAAGAAAGGGACATCTAAGTCTACTTGTCTAAACTGGACATCTTTTGTTGCTTTTCTCTTTCAATGTTTGGCTGGTATCACCTTACAAGGTCAACATTTTAACCTCACTTCTGTTGACATAATAGGAAGGTGAGAGCTGGCTTGTCCAGCATCTTTCCACTGTGTCATCACAGCCTGATCTGAGTTTGCTCAAATACAGACAGGACATGATTTTTTGTGGACAGAGGTACAGTTACATCACATGTGGTGTAAATGAAGATGGGTCATCCATGAGGTGTCACATACGGTCTGATAGGAGGAGGGGGAATCTGAAATGATTCATTTCCACAGGATGCGGTGAAATGTCCCCCTTCACTTTTACAGTTTCCAGTTGATTTTTTAAAATTCAAATGTATATGAACATTGTCCTCTTACTGAGAGAGGAGAGGAGCAGATACAAATGTTGATACACTCATATTCTCCTGAAGTCACCTTCAGTTATTTCTTTGCACTCAAAGCAATGAGTAGTGAGTTTTTTATTTGCCCTGGGTTTTGTCCCTCAGGCTATATACAGTGTGCTCTACCTTATTGGTGGAGGTTGTTGGGGCTGTTTGTAGCCTGAAAGAAATAACTGCAGACACAACTTCATTTTTTGAGTTGAAAATAGTTTAATCTGTATTTTTGTTTCCAGTAAATATTCTCCTGAAAAGAGACTTAATCAAATATAGGGCAGTAAAAAAGATTGCTGTTTGTAGTTTAGATGCAAATACATGATCAATCAGACAGTATCAGGTATCTATAAAGGAAACTTAAAGTGATTACTATTTAAAATTGATACAACCATTACTGAACATAGGAGCAGAAATGGAACTAATTTTCTGTCCATGCATAGAGTTCATATTTTTTATTTGAATTTTACTGTTATATTTGGTGTAGCAATGATTATTCAGATATTTGGGACCTGGAGAGAATAGTGTGCAATGCTTTCCAAGAGCTTAGTGCTATAACCCTTATGCCAGAATATAGTATGTTATATTAATAACATGACACAGATCTGTACTTATTTGCTTTAGTAATCATCTAAATTCCTTGAGTGTAGATAATAATAATCCTATACCTTTATATCTTACCTTTAACCAGTATATCAAGCCCGATTCTACATGTGTAATTGTGTTTCAGTGTCTGACTACAGCTAATTATTATTATTATTATTATTATCAAGCGCGTTTGTGTGATGTTTTGGCCATAAATCTGTCCTGTAAATTTTAGCCAATTTTATTGCATTTTAGTTCCCTCTGAGCATGCGTTTTTTTCCTCCTCATGCTCTGTCTGCATATAGTGGTGATTGGTTCTGCAGTAGGACAGTATAGTGGCAGCTGAATATACAGCACCATCACCGTATCTGTGACTCTGGGTCTGATGCCAGCTTCCCCCGCTCCACCCATTCTCTCTTTACTCCTCTCTGACCTTTTCCTGTTTGCATGGATGCTGTTGTTGAGGCATTTTGCTGACCTAAAACATCCTTTTATGCACATTGTATATGTTATACATTACGAGGGCATGTTCCCAGGGTAGTTGGTGGCATATATTTTGTTTTGTTTTTATGGTGCAAGGTTATATGAGGACTAAAAAGAGGGATGTTGAAAAAAAAATTAGATATACAGTGAAAGGCTTTAAATGCAGCAGTGTGTTAACTGACTACAGCAGTAGAGGTTGTGCAGGGTGTCTTTGTCCACTACACAGAGTCAAGATCAGTGATGACTTGACACACGTTTGAGTTTTGTCTTTGGTATAGCTGAATACTTTAAAAACTAGTGATGTCTCATTCTCTCTCTTCCTCTCTCTGTTTCATGGTCAAATCTCAGTCTCTCTGCATCTTATTTTAATGAGTGCTTTATGGTCTGGCGCCCCCTAGAGTAGAAAGTTGCACATAGATTTGCTTTTATGACAATTTAGTGCCACTCTCGTCATTCCGGCCAAATTATGTAGTATGATTTAGATTTTTGGCTTTTAGATAACGATTAGTGGAGAACAACAAAATAGATCTTTAGAATACATTAAAATAAAATAAGTTTTCACACATTTGTGAACTTTATAAATTTGGAATCACACATGTTTGTAGGTACATTTGAGTTGCTGTATCTCCATGCATAGTCTTATTTAGTTTAGCATTACATTTTTCACAGGAGAAACATTTGATTGTTGTTCTTCTGTTCTCATCATTGATTCCATTCAGTCCTGAAAGTATTGAGCCATATAGAAGCAGTAAGAGCAGCTAATGCAGTGAGATCAAACTGACATATTAGTCTCACATGGTAACTAAGATTGCTACAGGGCCCCCAATGGATCCATCAGATACAAATGATTTATTAATCCATGGTTTAATAAAGGTCATTATTTTGTTTTCATTCTAATTTGTCATTCTTACACATGGTACTATGTCTCTTCAACTGTTTGTTTCCTTTTTTATTATGAAGCTTACTCAGAAATGTCTAAAGCAGATGCAACAGTGGTGGTATGTAACTATGTACTTAAGTACAATTTTATAGTACTTGAGTATGTCCATTATATTCTACTTTTCTACTGGTTCTGCTCCATTACAGTTCAGAGGAAAATACTGTGCTTTTTACAGTTATCATACAGAAATAGTTTTACTTCTAAAACACCTGATTTTATAAATTATGATGCATTGTTGCAGATGAAACAACTAGACTTCAAAATATTGCGAAAGTCTCTCATTATTTTGAGAAAGTTTGTCAAGTCATTATTTTGAGATACTAAGTTAATATTTTGAGAAAGTTTCTCATTATNNACATTGGCAGAAATGGGCTTCCATCGAGGGGACCACTGTTGACACCTGGGCTTTCATAACGCAGTGTGACTGAGCCAATAAACTTTCTGGTGTAGTACCATATATCACGCATATATATATATATAAAACCT